TTTTAGCTGCAGAGGGAGCATGGTGGCAGAATGCAGGCATGCGATGGAGGGCTAAAACCCACATACAAAGTGAAGTAAAAGTTACCAGTTTTTAAGGCACAAAGAGTGTTTTCTAAATATGTAATCCCTGGTGAATAGAAGTCATTCTGTACGGGTTTAATTCATGCCAGGAGAGGAACTTGATTTTCTCATTTAAAGCATATTTAAGGCATCTCGTATATATAACGACCTTACTGTCCTTCTGCCATGTGTAATCACATCTGTTCTTGTCTCAGGAGCCAGCTTTTACAGGAGGACGCACACCCTACCTCTACAGTATAGCAAGCATCTACAGTACAGAGCACATGAGACTGCAAATGAAGCAGCACTATCTCAATGTCCTGCACGCATGCATTCAGTCAGGTCTGTATCTGAATTCATTCTGAATGCAGTGAAAGTTTGTCTCACACATAAACTGACCAGCACAGTCCAACGCATCCTGTGTTTTGGATCGCCCAGGTCATGATGAGACCCGCAGGAGAATGCATGGAGATCATCATTGCAAAGAAAAGAGCATGTTTAAAACTGATCCAGAGAAGAGCAATGCAGCAGCAAATAAGCAACAGAGGCAAAGGAGAAGCAGCGACAGAGCTTATTCTGATGTCACACTTCCAAAAATAGTCAACAGATGATATATATATGTATTTATTATGATTTATAAATAGGTTGTTGTAGGAAAAGTCTTACATTCATACACATGCTAATATCCAAAATACATCAATAAATGTAGCATATCTGTTATTAAGGCAGGTGAGACTTGTGTTGTTTGCATGTTCTCTTTGGGGACTTCATCTTCCTCCCACAGTCCAAACATACTAGGTTGGTTAATGTTGTCTGTCTCTGTATTTATTTATTTAAAAATGATTATAGTTTCTAATTATTTTTTTTAAATTTTTATTTCATTTGAACTTGTTTTGCTTTTAATTTAATTTCAGTTAGTTTCCATTGTGAGTTTAGATGTTATTGTTTGAAATGTTTAGTTTGTTAAGATTATCTTGGTTTTAATCTTTAATTATTATTAGGAAAATGTAGGAATATGTAAGAGGTAAGATTTAGGAAAATCATTATAGGTATTACAAAAAACAAACATATTGCTTGAAAACGTGTATTTTGGTCACATGTAAGAGGAAAGATTTGGGAAACTCAATAAAATCTTGATAAATGTCCACCAAAGCCTTGTAAGATAATTTAAAACAAAAAACAAAGAAACTTTTACCAGACTAACAGGATATATTCAGGATATATTCTCTGCATTTTTAATGTTAATTAATGTTAATTCAGTAAGTTTTACCTATAAAAACTAAAACTACATAGTTTGAGTTTTTATAGGTAAAACGACTTAAGTTAACTAGGTATTTTTAGTTCCCTTAACCAGTTTATTTTCCTTTAACCAGTTGATTAGTTTTAGTTAACTATAATAACCTTGGTAATGAGCCTGTGACCGTAGAATCACTGTGATTAGCCGTGACAGGCCCGTGTCTGACATAGCAAACCATGAACTGCGTCCTGGAAGGAAACTCTATAAAAGGTAATATAAAGAACACTCGAAGAAGATGCGAACTGAAATTTGCTGTAAAAATAACATATTTAATTCTATAATAATTCTATTGATGAAAGTTGTTCAAGCTACGAAATTGTTCATTTGGAACGAACAACGGGACTAGCTTATCTGATGTAGCTAAACTGGCTAATAATGAGTTAGCTTTAGGGGGTCATGACCCCTAACATTTTCAAACAGAAAAGTGCACTTTTCTGTCTGAAAATGTTTCGTTTCATGGTATTAAGAGAAAGAAATATTAAGGTTATAGTAAAATAATACAGTATAGTAAATAACAATATTGTGTCAAACTTGAACTGTGGAGGGCTGTGTTGTGTTTCAGCATTTGGGAAGGCTATTCATGCCCTGTCCGGGTTGGAGATGAGCTGTGGTTCGATCCAACGGTCAAGGGGTGAGCAGCAACAGCAGCTAGATGTAAAAATGCTCATTGACGCTTTATTAGGTACACTTTGAGTATTTGCCAAGTTTAAAAAAAATTAATGCTATTAAACTGTTGTAAATGGCTTGCTGTCCTATAATCTGTCAAAAACGATTGAATAATATCAAGTCACCACATGCCAAAGAAGCTCTATTGGATCGAGTTGTGGTTGAACATTTCATGTTCTCAGGTAGGCTTTAGCATTTAAACCATGCTTATTTAGTACTCAGGGGCCTAGAAAATATCCCTTACACCATTACACCACCACCATCAACCTGGATTGTTGACAGACGCCAGGAGGGAGCCATGCTTTCATGCTAATTTATGCTGACCCCACCATGTGAATATTGCAGCAGATATCTAGACTCATCAGACCAGCCAACATTTTGTAAACACTACAGATTGTTGTTAGAAAATCACAGTAGACCAGCACATTTGGTATTAACAAGCATGCAACCTTGAAAGTCACTTCAATCCTCCATTCTGATGATTGGTTTGAACTTCAGCATGGCATTGTTGTCATGTGATTTGCTAATTAGATATTTGTGTTAATGAGCAGTTAAACAGGTGCAACTAATAAAGTGACCAGTGTGTGTGTACAAGAGCGTCTGTATCGATAATCTCCAGGTGTTAAGGTATTCACCACCTTACTTCCTCCACAATAATTTCTCTCTCTCCCTCTGAAAGCTGGCCCTGAGATCAGTGAATTCTGCTCATTCTGCATACGCCTGCTTCCTCTTCTCGCCGCTCTTCTTCCAGCAGTACAATCTGGATTCAGTCAGGGAGCAGGACAGTGGACCAATCAAATGCAAGCTAGTCATGAAGGTATATCGGCATTGCTGGTTTTTCATTTGTAGGCAGAAACATCATCTTAACAAGTGACTGTTCAGTAAAATTAGGGCTACACATCATGCCGTTCTTTCAAGACTTTATGATTAAACTGCGTCTCTTTGTTTTAAAGTGTGTGCTGCCACTTTTCCGTTGTTCGACTTCTATTGAGCACAGTGTGAAACGGTGTCAGATATCAGTCAGCACTGGCAGTGACCAAGTGATCGTTCATTTTTCTGCAGACACGGTAGGAAACTGCATAAATGACAGTAGGTGTGCATGCAGTTTATATTTTGAACACATGGTGGCACTGTGCTCTAAGTGTCTCTGTTTTTGAGTTAGGCATAACAAAACCTACAATGTGCGTTTTCCTGGAAAGTGAGGCGCTGCAGGCAGTGTTTGCTTCACACCTCTGTCCCAATGTGCTGAAATCTCCTGCCAGGTTAGCATTTCAGCATTAGAGCCTCACTCTTCTTTTCTACAATCAGTACATGCTGGCTGCCTGTTGGTTTGTGTTTTAGACAATACCAAAAATATATATTGACAGAAAAAAAAATGTTAAAAGTAAGCAGCCAGAGCTGCCTGTGTGTGTTTTCCTCTTTCTTCAGGCTTCTAGGCGATATGGTGATGCATTTCCACGCGTCTCAGGAAGAATCACTCGTCGATGTCAGCCCCGAAAGTCAGTCTGAGAAATTACAACGAGGGGAGAAATGGTCAGTTAATGTCAGACTGCCATTTAGCTCAGCCCACGTGTGGCTGACACGTTTCACAAAGTGCTTGAAAGTTGCACAAGCTTTGAGATGAACATAAAACTTCCTAACATACTGCATGTTCAGTTCTTTAAGCACATCAAAGGAAGCACTGTAACGACTGCTGTTGACTTGATGTACCTGTGTGACAGATCACATGAAGATGATGCACACTGAGATGTCCTTACACCCAGACGAGTTTGACTACTTTCAAGCCGGAATGGACTCAGACATAACCTTCTGTCTGAAGGAGCTAAGGGTAACGGGGTATTTTTGGAGGCCTCCTTGCTCCTGTCACATGAGAATATTATGTGTGCGGAGAGCGAGAGTGACACTAGCTCACATGTGGGCAATTCATGTCTAAGAGGTCATATTGCTGTCCTGTACTCGGTGCTCGGTATCATTTCCATGTGAACTTTCCCCTCAGTGCTGTGACTCATCTTTATAGCAAAGATGTCTTGACCCGAGTGAGGCTCCACTACGTAGAAAAGTAACTGAAGTTGAAGGCTCCTCATCGCATGCTTTATTATAAACTTTAAAACCAAGTAGGAATGAGTGTGGACTTATGGCTGCTTAAAGGTTGATCTTCAGCTATTTATAATTTGATTAGCAGAAAAAGCTGAGAGAAGTGTAATGTATAGACTAGTGTGGTCAGTAAAGCAAAATCACTGGGCTTATAGAAAAACGAGACAGTTTTGTTGGATATTTGAAATAACAGTCTGTGTACGTTCAGTTAATGAGACTTGGCCTGCATTAATGCCTACAACTCTTCACACTAATGTCTTGGAAAGTCACTTGGGCTTCCCGCTGTGAGGCTCCTCGTTAGCCCGCCTAGTCATCTTGTTCCTGTCGGTTTTGGAAAATCGGGTTTGGACGGATTAGAAACTAGGCTTTAAGTTTTAGTCTTAGCCTTAATTGATGTATATCTCCAGGCTGATAATAGTTAAACATGTCACAATATTAGCCCACACTTTCAGCAATTAAACTCAGTTGTTGCTTTTTTGTTTTTGCCAGGGTTACTGTTTTGCGGAGTCACATGCCTTCCGGTGTTGGTTCACTTTGGCACTCCAGGAAAGTACGTTTCCTTGCTACTGTCATGACCTTGAGTGGAATTTATTCACTCAAATTACACAGGCTCTGTGGTGCTGTTCAACAAATTAACACCAGCTAGACTGCAAAATTCTTTAACGTTTATATATCACTAGTCACATCACTAAGTGAGCAGTTGTGGTGTGTTGCTGCTAAAAAGTAAAAGGTGCTGACAAATAAATAAAAAAAAGAAGACACAGTGAAGGGATTTCTGCCATGGAAACGCACTTTGTTTGCAGGCCTGTGTGCTTCTCTGTGGAGGACATGTCCTTGAGGCCACTGTGGTGCTGGCTACGCTGGCTGACTTGAAAGCAGAGGCCCTCACAGCCTACAGAGACCCCAGCCCCGACTACACACAGGTAACGACCACCCCTGACTTCACTGGCAATACTTTTAATCATCAGTGCCTGGGGGGAAAGAAGGTCAATTACTGCAGCTATTTTTTAAAATTAATTTGAGCAAAATAAAAAACCTGAGAAAAATCACAGAACATAAAAGGAATTCATCTCAATGAAAACACAATAGACCACACAATCTAGTTAGAAAACAAGTCATTGCCAGATAAAAATGCTTAAAAAAAAGATCAAAATCATTCAAAAAACTGTCATAAACAAAAAATCTGCTAAATACTGCAACAGATAAATCATGCAGATTAACTTTCTACATAGTCCAGATATTTTATGACATAGAGAAAGGGTCCTCGGGCCTTTTGAACAGCCTGTTGTTTGTTTTTTAGTGGAGTTTGATGTCATTTGTCTTACCCAGTCTATAATATCTGATAGCTTGAGCTTCCATTTACATTTTAAGCTATTAGCCTAAAAGTTTGTTTGTAATTATGCCCCTAGATGGCAATCAATTAGAATCTGCACTCATCGGACACTTTATAGAAAACCGTTTGCCTTCAGAAATATTCCTTAGCTATTTAGTCCACACTGACATGACAGCATCACATAGTTGCTGCAGGTGTCTTGGCTGCATGTCCATGATGTGAAACTCCTGTTCCACCACATCCCAAAGATGCTCTGTCTTACTGAAGACTGGTGACTGTGGAGCCCATTTGAATTCAGTGTCTCATTCAGGAAAGCAGTTTGAGATTATGAGAGCTTTGTGAGATGGTACGATACCTGCTAGAAGCATGTCAGAAGATGGAGATGACACTGTGGTCATAAAGGGATGGACGTGGCCTGCAACTATAGTGTGGCCTATGATGCTCAGTTTGACTAAGATCCCCAATGTTTGCCAAGAAAATATCCCCACACCTTTACAACACCATTACCAACTCAAACTATTGAACAAGGCAGGAGGACATGCTTTCATGTTGTTTATTTAAATTGTGGTCCTGCCATCTGAATGTTGCAGCACTTCTTAAATCATCAACATTTTCAGTATTCTGTTGTTCAATATTTGTGAGTCAGCATGAATTGGATTGTCAGTTTACTGTTTTTAGCAGACAGGAGTGCCACTTATTGTGGTCTTCTGCTCATGTAGGTTATTTGAATTACTGTTGACTTTCTATCAGCTTGAAGCAGTGATACATCCATCCATATATCTTGTATACGATTATTATTCTAACGATTTAAATTGGCAGGAGTTACATGGGTTAAGGAATTATGGCGTGTGAGGAGTGTATTTTATCATTATGTTGACCAGCTGGTGTCATTGTCGCAGTCTTTGTGCGTCCAGTTTGTCAGGTCTACAATCCAGTGTGCTGAAGAGCAGAACTACCTGAGCCTCTCTCCTGGCACTCAGTCAAGCTGGTTGCCCTCATTGGCTGTTTTAGCCTCTTAAGAGGCATCATGTTGCAGTAGCCAGCCTTGTGTCTGTAACAGAGATAAATAGGGCAAGGTCAGGGCACGCAGAGTTGGGTTAGAAGCCCGTCAGTGTGACAGTCTATAATCCCCTCCTCCACGCTATGCTAGCCAGAGTCTCTGTCCTGCTTTGCTAGCCTGCTCTCTCCCCATTGTCCTCTACTTGTGCGTCTAGTTGGATCTTATTACACCATTCCCAGCTGCACTGCTCAACATCTGGGTCATTTGTAGCTCGTTTTGCTTGTGTACACTGCTGGAAGTCTGCAGAGACATCACCAACCCCATGATTCGACCCTCTGCAGTGCTCCTGTCCCTAATGCTCAGAATTGATCTGCATTTTAATACTTTTTTTTCCTGATGAAATTTATCATGCAGGATATTTCTGACTATATGCAATGTATTTGTGTTTTTCATGGTATGATAAGTACAATACTTGCTTGCCTGCAGACTCTGGGGCCTTTAGAAGCCTCTTTACTCCTTCCTGCTGTGCTCCTAATTATGTGTCTGGGTTACGTCTGAGGTTGACGTGTCGTGTGGTTGCATGCACGAGGTTGTTGTTTTGTTCCCTTTTACCGTGCTTAAGGCTGCTTTCACCATCTGCTGATACAATGCTAGGTAGTGTTTTTGTAAAAGCAAATAACAATGTTTTAATATTTATATGGATTGGAAGCTACTACACAACATCCTCATTTGTAAAACTAGTAGATATGTTTATCAATACTGTCTGAATATATGTGTGTAAAAACACTCTGAATCTGTGTTGAGAAACAAATTTGCACCCATGTACCTGCGTCATCTACAGCTTGCAGACACAAGTGTGTTCTGTCTGTTCCCAGCTGTGCAGATGCAGCTGCTCTGCCTGTGGGTATACATGAGACTCAGAGCAACAACCTCCAAGTTCTTCCTGATGTAACAGAGCTTGTTGAATCCAGCCAAGGCAGCCCTATAACCTACCCACCTGTTCTGATGCAACTCCAATGCCAGGGCGACAGTGCTTGTGCTGGAATGACCCCACCTTCCAGCATGGTAATAAGAGCTCGCTCTTGATTTTTAAATCTTAACTGGGATCTGCAGATGGCCTGTGTGTTCCTTGTGGTTTGGATGCTCTACAGTCTTTCTGAGAAGTATGGTTCAGGGTGTGCTGCAATGGTTTACAATATCAGCTGAGACATGTCTTATGTTCTTTGTCACCTTTTAGATTAAAGACTTTTGCTGGAATCCCAGTTGAACCCCAAACCTTTATCAAATGTCTTCTGTGCAACTTTCCCTGTTAACACAGGTTTATTGCTTAATAGTGTTTAAATTTAAGACTCTGATGAGCCTTCAGGTCATCCTCCAAGCTGCAGACTGCACTGTGAGGACACCTCCGGTGCAGGCCCGACTCAAGACAGGAAGCGTTGCCAAAATAAAGCATGCTAGTCGAAACTCCACCATCCAAAAAATATTTCAAATGCACAAGAAGATTATGAAGGCAGATGTGCAGCACTAAGTGAACTTAAATTTTGCCTGTGTGCATGTGAAATAACTGACTGCTCCAATACTGTTCTGCATATCAGTTCTGTAGCATGTCATTATTTTGAGCAGATTAATTGTAATGATTTATCATAGAAATATATTTAGAAAAATCCCCCGCTCGCCCCTGCGGGCGGTCAATCCTTCAAGCTCGGGTCCTCTACCAGACGCCTGGGAGCTTGAGGGTCCTGCGCAGTATCTTAGCTGTTCTACTCAAGATCTTGAGCCAGTCTCCCTGTGGACACTGTTTTTAAGTGACCCTCATGCAGCGTCCTCTGTTGTACTAAGATTAACATAGAAATTGACAGGTGGTCAGAGCAAATGCACAAGTGCTGTAAATCTAAAATGAGAAAAAAAAAAATGGCAGAATGTTCTTGAATGAACTGCATACACTCATGTTTGGCTATTGTATCCTGTAGATCTGCTCCCTGCTGTTCGAGGCCATGTCCTCAGAACCTGGTGATGATGATGGTGCTCCCAGACTACCTGTCCTGGCATATTTCAGTGATGAGGAAGACTATCCGAGAAGCCCGTCACTCTGAGGGAATAGCAGTCGCTAATTAACAATATTCTTCTGTAAATAGTTATCAAAGTGTTAATCTCTCCAGAATAGTTTTATTAAATATTGTTTATTGTTAAAATGTTTTTTTCCAGTTACTGTTCATTTGAACAATATACCATCCATGTTGTCTGTCAATAAAAATGTGCCATCTCGGGAAGATGCCACACCCATCTGATGGTAACTGGCATGCATTGTGTCTGAGGAATGTGGTAGCACAAACAAAATATACAAAGTGTTCCAGACTGTAGAGCAGTGAGCCAAATGTCCATGTTCATGTGAACAAAACGCAGCTGCAGTGTTCAATACACATCAGAGCCATGAAATACAGCAGGTTAATAAATATTATAGTCTTTATTTAAACATTGTACACATGTGAAAATGTTTTTGTTTCTCCCACATAGACATGTTCTGGTTTAAACAGAAAGATGAGGCGGATGAGAAGGAGTCATCCAGGGAGGTGTGAAACAGGAAGCAGGGACCATGGAGCTTACAGTGGTAGTGCCAAATGACTGGGAGAAGTGCTTTATCATTTTTGTTAAGGCTGCTTGGATTGTCCTCAGTGCTGTAACACTTACCGGTAGAAAAAAAATAAATCACATTTTGCCAACTAACACTGTTCACCGCCCTGAATCTGTTCTCATTTCAACATGACACCTGACAGGGTGTCACATTAAGGAAACGATCCTTTCGATTAGTGCAGATTGTAAACAGTGATCTAAAGATCCATGGGAAGGATTTTCTAAGTGTGGGATGGCTTTAGTACTATTCCTGATTGAGTGCAGAGAGGAAGCAGATTTCAGGAGAAAGGGGGAGGGGGGATAAAAAACAACAACAACAAAACACTGGGGTTAAAATGATGGTGTAAAGACAGCAGAGCATGATGGGAAAGCTCATTTTTCCAACTCTTATGGCTACTTAACAGTTTAATGCTTTGTGCTCAGTGCTGGCACATTTTTAGGGGGAAGGTTGAAGACTTATTTGCCAGTATCAATGACACATGATACAAGGCACATTGTAATATTACACAAAAATGTGGATTTTACCGTGAAACCTTCCTGTAGTGACGCAAAGAAACATACTGACCATTTTTCACATGAAACCTGCAGTGACATGACTTAAGAATGCGCCACTGAAGCTCTACAAGCAGGGGGAGAGGAGGGAGGGAGAGAGACAGGAAAAGCAAATGGTGACTGTGAACAAGAGTTTCTGTAAGCTACTTGACGTGGCGAACAATCCCCACGGAACAAAGAGGTTACAAAAATACATTTGGTCACCTGACCAATTTCCGCTGCGTTGAACTTTTTCAGATATGCTCCTTAAGCTTTGTGCGTTTAAGGCTGCGAGACCAATTCAGACCAGCGGATATGGAGAAGTCTCTAGCCTACACATCCATTTCATTGACACCGATTGCACATTACTCAATAGACACACACTGAGGAGCTCATGTGCATTCATCACCCATTCATACACACATCACACATAATCACAATCAAGACTTCAGCAGCAGCTGTGAGATTAAAGGGAGGACATCAGTTTGACACTATCATTTATACTATACATATATTTATCTTGAGAGGCTTTTGAGCTACAAAATACTCTTAAGTTACAAAATATGTGCAATACTTGAACTGGTATGGAAAAGGCAGCTGCCACTCTTTATGAAATCTTGTTGGATTATCCTGCCACAAGAAACAAACCATCTGTGTAAACCCATGTCACATCACACTTGTTTTGTTTCTGTTTTTGCAAACATTTAATGTAACATCCCAGAACAGCATACCATTCATATCAAACATATGCTCCCTGCCCTTTCGTACAAGTTTCCAGTCCCTTTCATAAAGGCTTCCTAAGTACCACTGTATTATTAAGTGCTTGCACAAGACGGACCCATTTATTGAGCCTTAATGCTGCCATTTCTCATGCGCTTCCCTTCTTGAGGACTGTTTAGTTCTGTTCGGCAGGCCAGTACGTGGCCACATTCACATGCTAACACACACTCTTGGGCTATGTCAGCATCCGTCTTCTCTGAATTGCAGCTTCTTTCCTGCGGCAACTATCAGAAGAGGCTGACTTATCCTCATCAGCATGCCCAATGATCCAGCCAATGGGATTATCTGGTGAGCATTGGAACACTGCAGCCCGGCCAACAGGGTGTCTGGCCTTTAGTTGGATTTATCTGGCCACTGTCTGATGTAGAAAACGACAGAGAAAAGGGCATGTTGAAGGATTTCTTTTGTTTGTTTTTAAATGTGTGGGGTTGGCCAAGTGGGGGAGACGGTGGGTGGATGAGGCAGAGTAGATCCTTTAGGTGTGGGGGAAGCAGACATTAGCTGTACATCCTGGCCAGCAGGAATCAAAGCAGTCCATCACCTGCAGCGGCAGATGGATACTCCGTGCAGACTCTAGTCAGTGTACTCAGCGACTATGGAGAGCAGTACTGTGATGTCATCTGGTTTTCCTCCTGCATGGACAGGAAACAGCAGCCAGTTAGGTTTGTTGCTTGAAAAACACGTTTGTAACCGTTCAAATTACAAAAAAAATACTCATCTTTTTTGTAATACTTGGACACTTACCTCTTACATTCAGTCCATTGTCACAGGCAAACTGTGCGAAAGGTGACATGTAGTTGGGGTCATAGGCCAACACATGGGCCTGCTCTGCGATGCTGCGGGCCGTCTGCTGAATGCTCTCATAGTTTGTGTTCTGACGAACCAAACAAAGCAGGCATTAGGCGTTTATCGTGCCCTTTTCTGATTCTACGGCAGACATGTTTGTCACTCACTTTGAGTTTCTTCAGCTCTTGCAGTATCATGTAGTCTGGCATGTTGTCAAAGAGCCCATCAGTGGCAGTGAGGATGATGTCGCCCAGTTGTACATCAAAGGAGGTGCTGTCTGCAGCGTCAGGGCTGAGGGACAGACACAGGTGAGTTTCAGGTAAGAGACAGGTGCAGTAATTTTTGTCATTAAACATACCGACTGAGCTTAGCAACAGAAACTTGGTTGCTAATGGATAATGAAAAGTTCAGGTAATCATCACATGAGGTTTTTTTTGTTTTGTTTGTTTTCTTGGAAAGGACAGTTGGGTCCAAGAAAAGGTGCTGCCATTATGAAGGTGCTTCAAATACACAGAGGCAGGAACCAAGTTAGTTTGCCAGTGTCGGGTTCAGTTCCTGGAAGATGTCCTTACCCCCTAAATCCAGTCAAGAATGTGATTCATTACAAACTGTCTGGACTGCATCACGACACAGTGAGCCAAAGCTCCCAGGAACAGCCTGTCCTGTGCTCTAATTTTTTAATGTATTTTTTTATGAAGCCAAAACTACAGTCACATGGGGGGAAAAAAGCTGCTGTAGCGGCTGTTCTCGCAGCTAGTTAGCACTATGATGGCACAGCCACACTTACCAGAGCTGTTCCTCATTCTTTGTTATCTGTGCACACTGGGTGATTCATCATTAACATATTCATAAGCCAAAGACATTTGTGACACTTGATAATTACACAGCCAGTATAGTTATGAAGATAATCATTGGGCAAGAAGGCAAAAATCTGTGGGCTTATAGCTATGAAGCAATGCATCGAGAACATGATGTTTCCCTTGTATATTATTACTAATACAAAGACAGGCAATGAAAATGAATGTACAAACGGACTTGTGGCAAATAAAGAGCTGTGTGGCATTATCATAGAGAGTGCAAAGTGCTTAGCTGTAGGTTTAAACATCTTTATCCAAACTTTTTAGTGCACTCTCAGGAATGCTGTAACTAGTTGTTAGCTTTGACCCTTGCACTCTTTTCTGTTAGTTGCTACATTAGTGACTGAAAGCTTAATCTGCTGATGCACTAGGACTAAATCCTTCAACCAAATGAAATGCTCGAATGTAAAAGGATTTCTCAAATCTATGGGCTGTCTGAAACAGAAGCAAGGTCAGCATTTAAGAAAAGTAAATACATATCTATAGTAACAAGTAAGTGCACTTGCAATCTTTTGTTTTTATTTATTTTTTTAAAAGTAAATTGCTTAATTTAAGAGGAGTCTGCTGGTGCAGGATTGGCTGTGGACTTGTGGATTTGCCCCATCAGCCCACACAGACTTTGACCTGAGGTAAGAGGGAAAGCTTGGTACACATCCAGGGCCTGTCCTGCATTCTAACATCTACTGTGCTGCTGCTTGGCACGCCACAGCAACGAGACACAGCAGCACGTGGCCTCAGACACAGTGGTACACTGCAGCTCGCTGCAGCGCAGTTGCTATAGACGCTCAGCCTTGCAGCAGGCCAGGTGCGCAGGCGCTACTGAATGTTGTTTCAGCAAGCAGTCTGCCTTGTTATAAGTACAGTATCATGTATCACATCTGCTGTAAAGAACACGTGAATGAGCAATGAAGTGTGCTGATGACACCCGTCCGTGTCACCGGCAGACTCGCTCAAATGAGTGTGGGAGAGCAGATGCACCAGGTGTTGCTCGTTAAGTGTTTCACCTGTCACTGAGGACGGCCCCCTCAGCCCCTGGGGGAGCAATGGACAGCTGGAAGGGGGTGTTGAAGTAGTGCTGCTGCTCATCTGAGCGGTGAACCACCTCCCCTCCCCGGACCACCAGGAAGCCAGAGTCTCCCAGGTTGGCCGTGTGCAGCCGATGACTCTGCCGGTCCAAAATCACAATGCAGGCCGTGCTGCTTCCTAAAAATAAAAATAAAACAAAAAACCCACACGTCACTTTTTATTTTCAATGCAAAAAAAAAGAAAATGTTTAAGATTAAATAAACAAATAAAAATGGGTAAATGCAACACTATAGCACATTAACCATCTCTGCACCCAAATACGTGTTCAGCTCCCAAAAGAAGAAAGATGCACAGATGCAACATTTAAAGCTGGAAACAGCCAAAAATCTTTCAGCTTCCAACAACAGCGGAGCTGTCCTCACTGGTGCTGCAGACAAGACAGGACAACTAACTTATGAGTCTGTACTCAGAAGTTAGCAGGAAGCCAGTTAGTCGTCATGTAAAGATGCCTGACTTATTTTTATAAAAACACAAATGTATAGCACGACTTTACTCGTAAACACAGAACCACAATACCAGCAAGATGTATGGAGGTAGAAGGAAGACTAAATAGATTTTAGGACTAGGAAAACAATGATCACAGCACTCAGCATTCTGAAAATACACATCAACATCAGCCGCTG